AACCCTTCTAGGTCATTTACCATTTTACATAAAGATAGTATACTTACGCATTGGGATGATTCAAAAATATTAAAATTATGGAATCACCTAAAAGATGAACTATCGAAGCGAAAATCAGACCCACAAGTTGTTTTGGTTGAGGGAGGAAACTTAAAGGAAGTGGATATTCAGAACTAGGTTCTTGTGGAATAGTATCTTCTGAATGGTCACTGGACTCTGGGTTGTCGTGTTCAGTATTTAAAGGAAGAGTACTCTCACGATATTCGTGAAGATTTCTGCGTGTGGTAAAGTACAAACGAATAAATGTGATTACAAGAGCCACCTCTATGGCTTGAGCTATTCATAGGGAATAATAGAATTATGACTCAAATCATTTACAATTTAAGCAATTCAAATTTAATAAATTTAATAGAATTAATTGTATATACAGTACCTTGAACTTGATACCAAAGAGCATCATAAGGCCAATCCAACCATACGCAGCCAATAATTACGACAATTAAATATCTAAGTACCCATACCCAATACTTAATCGCAGTAATTGATCCACCATAATGAATACATGCCAATAATGAAATTTCCGCAACGTTACATAATAAACCGATTGGGGACCATAATTTCCCAATATCAAAGATCATGTAAGCTACGAAAGTGAGCCAAGTAAAAAATATATAATTTGCTAAAAGTAAGTTGAAATAACGGGTAGATGTGACGGCAGAATTATTTTTGTGAAAGTGGGAAATGAGACGTTTATCATGAGGAGGGTAAAATGCCCAATAAAAACCAAAGATACTAGCGAATAAGCATATCGCACTAGAAAATAACAAGATGGTGTTGAAGCGATTCGCATCGAGATCTAATATATGAAAAATTAAAATTTTGATTTGAAATCAAACCTTGAAACTATATTAACACGATAATTTTAAGAACAATTTAGTAAACCTGGAACATCAGTATGCCATGTTGGATATCCGGTTAATGTAGCATTTGCCGCAGTTGGTAGTTCAAATTTTTCTAGTCCAATAAATGACAATAAAACAGCTATTAAAGTTAAGAATGATACTATAGCAGCTATCGCGGGTCCAATTATAATACTCATTTTAATTTTGCAATGTGAGAAAGATAAAATTCATGTTCTAATTTAGCCATTTTTATTGACAATTTTTAGCCGAAATCTCATGATCGTAAAAATGGCGTGACTTACGTATTTTGTACGAGTGATTATTTCGGATTAACCCCGAAGCGTACAGTACGTAAAGCGAAAATACAAGAAAATGAATATTTAAGTCTGCCTTGTGGCATTAATCGAAAATGACGAGGATGAAGTTTTAGTTACTATTTTTCTTATAACAATGAACCTTAGCTCGACCTAAAGCCTTATTTTTGGTTGTATCACTCGCAGAAATAACATTTCCCACAACATTAGGTATAAAAACCAAAATGGAAAAGAATTCACACGTACAAAAAATATCGAATGATTTTTATGTCACGTGTATCTAAATGGTACGTACGTACGTACGTACTGTACATAAATGTTGACTATATATATATACGTGATAGAACTATACTGATAAAAAGTATCGTATACCATTCTTCATCATACACTCTCACGTCGTGGTTAGCTTGCAAACTTAATTATATTAAATGCAAAAATATTTTAAATTACGAAAAACCTAATATAATCGATGAACTAGCTTCTACAAATTTATCTTTAAACATGTCAAACCAAAGTGATACGTATTCAGAAAAACAAACCGAAAAGGTGCAGGTCGCCCAAAAGAAAACATTTGGATTATTATATAACAAGTAATAACAAGTAATGATATTAACGATTGTAGTGTGACTTGCTATTATTGTCCAAAGTATTGTAACTATCGCTATGGACGTCCTACAGAAATGGAAGCACCTCTTTCAAACATTTGTTCTAATGTTCCTAAAGATATGAAAGAATATTGGCAAGAGTCATTTTCAAATAAAGTTATTAAAAGGCTCAAATCAAAACCAATTAATGCTTTATATTGTACATATATACGTACACAGTTTAAATAAACTTTACATACATTATCGGGCTTTGAAAACCACAATAATTATTAAAAATGCAAAATGTAATTAATTTTGGTAATTTTGATTTTATATACAAAATTAATTTAATTAAGTGTGGCAGAACCTCCCTAGC